TCACAATGGGACACTGACTGCCTTGAGGGCTGTGGGTCAGCATCTGTCCCGATGCTCCCTCTTATAGAGCTGCTCATCTCAACTGGAGTTTCAGAGTCCTAAAGCCAGGTTTAGCCTGGATATCAGGGTTTTGCTCTGGTCTGGTAGGGCTACATTACACGTCTTGGCCCAACACCTCTCTATAGGGTAAGCAGTTGATGTGTATGGTGGGTAGAGATGCTTTCACAGATGGTTCTCAGAAGCTCTTTCTATTTAGGGATGCCCAACCTTGTGATGTGTCATGATGTTGTAGCCCCCGAACTCTGTTTTTGCTCCCACCTGCTCCTTGGTGTTTTTACTAAGGTAACTTTGGTTTTCTCTTGGCTTTTAGTTTTACTTCTCTTGTGTCAGTGTGGTGGCAAAGCCAGAACATACATGAGACTTTCAGCAATGGTTTCTGAGAAAACACTCATGGTCGCCTTTTGCTGCTCCAAAATATTGGGAAACCTGTCTTCTTCTGGTCCTCCCACATCCATTTGTATTGGAAGATGACTATCGTCCATGTGCATGGAGGAAACAGTGCCCTAAAGGCAGCCTTGTTGTGTCTCAAGCAGTGGTTGGTCTGCTGGAACAGGCATGGTGGTGGAGCTGGAACCCTGCTTTGAAGTCTGGTAGCAGCAGAGTGATGCTCTTGCTGCTGCTGCTGCAAATGCAGCTTCCCATTAGCTCTTTCAGCTGTCGGGAATCTCTTGACGTGATGCAAGGAAGTTTCCACATGATGAATTTCAGGGAGTGAGGCGAGGCTGGGTGTATGTTTTAATTTTAGTTCTGCATGACAGAGGATGCTTGCGAGTCCATCATTAATTTCAAAAGCTCTTCGGTATTGTGGTTATTTTGCTGGAATTATACAGTGGGTTGACTGGGGAATAAGCAAGCAAAGCGGGAATTTGAGGAACAGTAAAACCAACCCTGCAGATATAAGTTAGCCTGCACAGCCTGTCAGTAACCAACCACCTGCATATTTTCCTTGACCCTGTTCCTATCCCTAGGAAAGAGGTTCTGACCCTGGAGGATCTTTACGTCCTCAGTCTTTCGGACTGTAGTTACTGGATTGGAAAGACTCCAGTTGTCCAGCTCTCTAGCTCAGCCATCTTCCACTCGTCCCATCTGCTAATTCATTCTCCAGGAGAAACAGAGTCAAGG